TTTAGTCTACAAAAAAGTTTTATTTTCACGAGAAGATGCGCGTAAATCTGTCGACCTCTAGTGGTCACATAACGACAGTGCAGTAGAAATTCCAGCTTTACACCGCAGCTAATAAGGAGGACGTCTCCGTTTGAACCCCGGAGTCTTTGACAGGCAACAGTTCAACCTCTGTCGGCAAAGACTCTTTCCTACTCCGAGAAAAAGAGGCAAATTAAAAAGACACAATGAATCATCCAGTTGCGCAGATGACTTCCTGATAACATTCCTGAAAATGTTCCATGCGTGTTGGTATGTGCTAGAAGATGGCGGAGTCAGACGGAGGCGATTTTATTCCGAAACACTCGGAGAGCAGGTGAGTGGGCTGCGCTCGATGGTGTTGGAGGTCAGCGGTGTGGTTTCGGTGCTAAGCTGTCTCCCCCGCGGCCTCTGAACTGACGGTGACCTGAAACGAGTGAATACGCGGCATATTCAGGTCAGGAAACACCGAGGAGTTGTTGAGGCCTCCAGGCATTAAGTCTGCTCGCCTTTAGCTTTATGGAGAAAAAAAAATTAATAGTTTAGGCAGGTAGAATAAAAAAGGTCATTTAATAACGCCTCATTTAGGAAAGTTAACTGTTGGTTGACATTTATATTAAAGGTAAGTTTTTATTTCATAAGAAATCTTAAGAATGTAGAAACCAAAGTATAAACAACAAAATTACCTTTTTTAAAAAAAAGAAATTGTTATATTTTTTAGAGAATTGCATCTGTCAAATGTTAAAAGGAGTAAATATTAAATGCAATAAAAGTTTCCCTAGTCGCTTTTAAAAGTAAAAAAATTTTTATTGAGGTAAATTGAGCAATTAGGCAAAATAAAATAAAAAAATAAATAAAAAAGGCAAGTACCTCAAACTAAGCAGTATAAAGCACTTCCCTTTTAAGAGGAAACTAAAAAGATGGAAGAAGGGGAAAACCTCAAAATAAGCGTTTTGGCTTAGTTGCTTACTTTTAATAATACTCTTTGATATAACCCTAATATTATATATATATATATATATATATATATATAAAATGTGTGTGCACAGTCATATGAAAAAGTTTGGGCACCCCTATTAATCTTAATTATTTTTATTTCTAAATATTTGGGTCTTTGCAACAGCTATTTCAGTTTGATATTTCTAATAACTGATGGACACACTAATGTTTTGGTATTGAATTGAGGTTTATTGGACTAACAGAAAATGTTTTTTTTTTTTTTGTGTGTGCAAATTTTTGCACCTGTCAAGTTTTGTTATAATGCATATTGCACATTTTCTGTTAGTCCAATAAAAGACCCAAATATTTAGAAATAAAAATAATTAAGATTAATAGGAGTGCCCAAACTATAGAGGGTTATACACAGTCAGTGTAGGTGGTATGGGATCAAAATGAATAAATCCTTGAGGTTAAATTTTAGGTTATGGTACGGATCGTTTTAAAGTTAGGACCACTCTGTGTTTTCCTACACAATTGTCTGTACTTAATGCATTTTCTTTTCTCTGAGGCGATGCTCTAAATGTTTTCTCAAACAACAAACCGTCTCCTCTCCTTATCACACCAATTCCTTTTAGCGTTTGGAGGTTTAATGTGGGTAAAGTGATAAACAGCTCTCTCTTTACAGTGTCTTTGTCCTGTACGCTCAGATGCATTTTCACTAATGCAGTAGCACTACACTAAATGCATTTCCCTCTAGATGAATAATAAATTATATTAAGTTTCTATTAGAATGTCACTAGATACGACTTATCTACACACTGGCCTGTTTTTAGCAACAGATTACAGCTTCTAGATGTAAGGATTCAGCTAAAATGCATCATAGGAAAATGTTAGCTTTGCATTTTAAGGGGGGGGGGGGGTTAAACTGCACGCTACTTTGCTGATTGTTACAAGACATATTTCTCTTTCTAGTATGGCTAACAAGAATAGCACCCTGCGCTGCACTTTCTCCGCCCCGAGCCACAGTGCCACGCTCCTCCAGGGCTTGTCGGTTTTGCGGGCTCAGGGTCAGCTCCTGGATGTGGTGTTGGCTGTCAATGAGGAGCACTTCCAGGTCCATAAAGCAGTGCTGGCCGCCTGTAGCGATTATTTCAGGTTAGTCTGGACCATTTGGGTTTTCATTTAAAAGGTTTTAGCTAACACTAGGGAAAAAGTAGAGGGTAAAAATACCTGTTTATTGAAGTAGTGTTTTCTATATATAGTGAGAACCTGCTGAGTGGAAATATATAGGAAAATGATTTTTTAACTGAACACAGAAGGTTTCATGTCTCCTTTTCTTTCATTATTGTGTTAAACCTGTAAATGGCAATGGTTTTGGTTTTTTCTTTAACCCAGATTTCATGGTACCAACACACAGTAAATATGTGATGCAAAGTTTTAAATATTCTTTAGTAGTAAAATTCTTAATAATCTGGCTTGTATTTGTATTCAGCTCTTCTGAGTCTATTACCCCATTTACACTACCCTCTGAAAACCGATCCGTGCCGAGTTTGAACCGAGCTTGGATCAGTTATCCATGCCCAGCTTGGTTCCTTACGACCTTACATACTATGCTAGCACGGTTCCTCGCCTCCTAGTGGCGATCTACGGTACTACTGCTCTCTAGAGGTAAAAAAGCAAATTAACATGGCGCCACCTGTAACATTGAGGAAGTTTGGTTATAATTGTGATATTTTCTTGTTTGTTGAGAGTCAGGTGAAGAAGGCAGCCTTTGGTGAGTTTGCTTGACAGAGTCGGCTTTTGGGAAGTGGACACAACAAAGATAGTCTAATCAGGGCTTACAGGTGCAGGAAACGACGTTGATGTTGAGGTTCCTCACTCCGCTAAGCAGAATTGTGTGGCAGGGTATGGAAGCTAGTATTTTTCTGAATGTCTGAAATTTCATCACTACGGAGGCTGACTGTAAGGAGATGACGCAGTCTGCTCATGCGCTCTTTGTTATCTGAGAATCGAGCCAGAATTGAACTGCGCCAAGCCCTACTGATGAACTAGCTCCAGTTTAGCGCGGTTCGGTTCAGTTGTGCATGCTATTTACACACAACAGTTATATCGGTTACCGTGCTCGGACCGATCCCGGGACAGTTTCAAAAGGGTAGTGTAAATGGAGCTTAAGCTATTAAAGTATCTTTGCACCATTTTTGCACATCCAAAACCTGAAACTTTGTGCTAATAATCTTTTCCGTCCACATTTTTTAAGCTCTGTGACAGATTTTTAAACCTGCCTTAGACCTGACCTTTAACTGGGCTAAAATAAAATACTTTATTTTTCATCCAAACCATCCAGATGTTTCTCTTAAGTGTGTGATGTTGGTCCCTGTTTTTTTTTTTTTTTTTTTTTTTTTTTTTTTTTTTTTTTTTTTGGAAGCAGAACCTGTGGCTCAGTCTCTGATTTTCTTCCAGGATTAACTTTTCTTGGCTCCATTCATCTTTTTTTTTCTGTGAAAAAAAAAATCCCAACAGCATTATGCTGCTACTAGGCTTGTCCCGATCCGATCCACGTATCGGATCGGGACGCCGATATTGGCAAAAAAATGCGTATCGGCAAAGCATGTAAAATGCCGATCCAGACTGCCGATCCAGTTTTTTGCAAAAACCTGGATCGGGACATCTCTAGCTGCTACCATCCTTCATTACTGTGGGGATGGTGTGTTTATGGACTGATCATTGCTGTCCTACTCTACCATAAACAACATGTTTGTGGTTTGCACAACCAGGTTTCCGCCACTAACACATTTTCACCCGAGCTGTAGGTGTGTGAAGCTCCTCCAGAGTTACTATTCACCTCATTGCTGCTTCTCTGCTACACGTCCTTTCAAGATAAATTACATAGAATAAATATATATCCTGTGTGTGGAGTTTAAAGCGTGGGATATTTTAATACATCTGTTGTGTTTAGTCTTCCTCGTAATTAGGGCTCTGCGATATTGCCTAAAAATTTGATTTTTTTTTTTTTTTTAACTTGAGCATTGAACTTTTTTTTTTTTCCTGATTGGGTGATACCATTATTGATGAGAAAATATTGCGCATCCTTAACTTCCTGTTGTGCCCAGCTCAGTGTTGGTTGGTCCCTTAAAGGAATAGTACACCCAAAACATGATTAGCCTTCATTTTCTACTCACCCCCATGCTGAACAAC